AAAAAAAAAAAAAAGAAGCAGTTCTACATTCTTCTAACCTTTGAAATCCCCAGTCTCCCTCCACCATGCACTCCACTTCAGCCAGGCATAGACACTGAGCATGTAGTTCTTCTGTTGCTTTGGATCCCCAGTGGCCAAGGGAGTGTCCAGGTACAGCTCTTTAGGGCAGGAGGGGGTGGGTCTGAAGTCTGTTTTGAACCACAGTCTTCAGGTGAGCATACTCCTGCTTCCAGGACAACTGAGAAGGCACCTTCCTTAGAGGCAGGTAGGTGTGCCAATTGCCCTCTGTAAATAAAGGAGGCAAACTGTTTCCCCCTCCCGCGTGCCCCCCACATGCGCACACACGAGGGAAACAATTATTTTCAGCCGTCTTCAAGTAGGATGTTTTTACAGAATGTAAAATTGAACATCAGATGTTTTCTTTTGCCTGTTTGTGACTGCGTTTATTGCATCCTTGAGTATACTGGTATGCAGGCCACGGATCTGTTTGTTTTTGCTTCCAGTTAATTGCCGCGTTTGTTTTTGTTTATACTTCCTCTCAATTGCTGTGGTGTTGCCTTACTGCTTAGCTTTGCTTTCATTTCACAGATAATTCAGCTTCTTTTAAAGCGGGAAACATCGGTTTGCTTTTCTGCTACTTTTTCAATCCACATTGGAAGGGATGCTGTGTGGTGAGGGCCGTGGCTGGGGACTGCCAGGTGGCTTCCGTGAGTCATTTGGGCAGTGTGCTCACTGTTGGGTTTGCACTTTCTCTTTTCGATCTAGTGGCCGAGCAGGCAGAATCCATTGACAATCCATTGCACGAAGCTGCAAAAAGAGGTAGGTGTGATTGTTTTTCATTGGGATACGCAGTGCTGTGTACGGTAAAACACACAGATCTTAATTATATGGTTTGATGACTTTTTTTTAAATGTTGATTTATTTCCGAGAGAGAGAGAGCAAGCTCAAGTGGGAAACGGGCAGAGAGAGGGGGACAGAGGATCTGAAACAGGCTCTACACTGAGAGCAGAGAGCCCAATGTGAGGCTTGAATTCACAGCCTATGAGATGATGATCTGAGCCGAAGTTGGAGGGTTAACCTAACCGACTGAGCCACCAGGGTGCCCCAGTTTGACAAACGTGCACACCCATGTAACCAACACCCGGATCAAGAGCTAGAACATTTCTGTCATCCCAGAAAGTTCCAAGTTCCAGTTAACCCCTGCCTCCCCCAGAGGCAGTCTCTGTTCCACTATCACCCTAGAAAGAGAAGTGATTTTAATTTTTTTTTTTTTTTTTTTTAGTTTTCTTAAGTAATCTCTACATCCCAATGTGGGGCTCCAACTCATAACCCCGAGATCAAGAGTCACGTGCTCTACCAACTGAGCCAGCCCGGTGCCCCTGCGATTTTAATTTTTAATTTTTAATTAAAAATGTCAGCCACCAAACACTTCTGAGTACTTTACGTACCCTGCGCTCAGTGGTAAGCAGAAAGGCATGGTCTGTGACTCCCAGAGCTCAGAGTCCGGCAGAAGAGAGATGTGTGTAACAGATCATTATAAGATGGTGTCAGAAGCACAGCAGTGGAAGTTATGTTTAAGTTAAACAGGCTGTGGAGGCCAGCATGAGTCACTGGAGGGCAGTGGGGTGGAGGCTTCCTGGGGATAAAGCATTTAGGAGGGTATTGGTATAGGGCAAGTGTGTGGGGTAAGGATGGAGTTGGGGAGGGACAGAGCAACAGGGGTGGGCCTCGTTTGGGGGGCTCTATCTTG